CATAAAACAGTGAGTAAATTATATAACAAAATAAGGCACTTTTCAATGCACTTTGCAACTGGATTTTAATTGTGTGCAACAGCAAAACCCGCTTGCACACTGTCGCTGAAGTGGATTAAAACTACGTTATTTAGTAGGTATAATTCCTGGCATTTATAGAGTGGGTTCCGGCAGATCTCGCAATGCAACCAGGATCCCACCTGAGACTATCCAGTGTCTTCACCTGCCAGCCTACCAGTGCCTTCTTTGTGCTGGATTAAGAAACCATTTAATGCTTGAGCCCATGAAAGTTCACTTTCAAAGCAACCGGGTATCTTTTCCAGTGGTTCCTTTCTCGGTTTCCCCCAAGAGCATCCTTGAACATACGCCCCTCCCATTCCTGGTCCATGCAGGGCCTTCTGCAAAGGGGAGGTGTCAACTGGACAGCATCTGTGCCCATCTTTTGTCTTAGATCCAGGTGCATAGCAGTTTACTTCCCACAATCAGCAAGGCTACCTCACACATTTATCTCCTGTTCTGACATATTTATTGCCTCACTGTTTTCGCCCCCTTAATTAAATCAAAACCACTGTTGACTTTATGACCTTAGCTCGTTACTTAGCTTTCTCTTTGCAAAAACATCTTAATCATATTACATCATGTAAATTTCCCGTTCAGCCCCTGTCTATAAATTTGAGCTGTGACCTTCCATTCCAGTGTATTTGAAAAAGCGTGCATGCAGTCGAAAGCTCATAGCTTGAATAAGCCTTTGTCGGTCTTAAAGGTGTCCCTGGACTGTACATTTGTTCTTCGACTTTTGTCTTGTTGAAATTGTAGCAAGTTTTCGTTTTTAAGAACGTCAGTTTTTGAGTCTCCATTCAGTCCATATAAGAGCAGCAGCAGAAGCATTTTTCATAGCTGGGTCTCTGTGGCGCAATCGGTTAGCGCGTTCGGCTGTTAACCGAAAGGTTGGTGGTTCGAGCCCACCCAGGGACGCTGTTAATTTTTTCCCCTTCTGCTTGAAAGACAACATCAATAACCCAGGCTTTTCGTTGGACTTTGCAAGCATGTGAAAGAACATGCAGCCGGACGGCGTTGAGTAGGGAGGGAAGTAAAGGAAACCGAGGCATGAATCTTTTCCTGGGCAATCGCAGGAAACGGTTAACAGGCTAGCAGGATTGATCTCCCCAGGTCAATAAATCCGTACTGGCGCCACAGACGCAATCAAATAATTAACCATGGAGGGTGTCCATCCCAGATGGCAAATGCAATCCGCTCCATTTGCTGCAGATACACGCTGGGCGCCCTGTTGCAAAACAATCTAAAACAAACAAAAAAACTCTAAAATAAGCATTTCCTGTAAATGCACGTTCGGCGCCCCGTTGCAAAAAAACCTTAAAACAAACCAAAAACCGAAACCCCTTTGCGATTTAGAAAACGACCGCCCGTGTCACCCAACCGCCAGGGGGCGGTGCAGGCACACGCGCCCGCCCACTCCACGGAACGCGCGGAACGCAGCCCGGTTGCCGGCGGAGCGATGAGGCTGAAGCACCGCCCGCCTGGGAATGCAGCTCGCCGCAGAGGTGGCTTGAAGGGTGCAGCGGCGGCGACCGGCGGAGGAAGCCGAGATGGCGGCTCTGCCCGGTGAGTGCCGAAGGGGGCAAGGAGGCGAGCAGGGAGGGCGGGGGCAGAGCCAGACCCGCTGGGGGCGTTCCAGGCACCAGTGTTCCCTTTAATGCCAGTAGCTCACAGTTTGGTGCCAGTAGCCAGTTTGGTGTAGTGGTTAAGTGCGCAGACTCTAATCTGGGAGAGCCGGGTTTGATTCCCCACTCCTCCACTTGCACCTGGCTGGATGACTTTGGGGAAGCCATAGCTCTGATAAGAGCTGTTCTTGAAAGAGAGCAGTTTCTGTCAGAGTTCTCTCAGCCCCACCTACCTCACAGGGTGTCTGTGAAGGGAAAGGAGTTTGTAAGCCGCTCTGCGACTCCCTTGGGTAGTAAAGGGCAAGGTATAAATCCAATCTCTTTTCTTCTTCTTCACAAAGTAAAAAATTTTGCTCACGGAACTCCATAGCTTAAAGGGAGCATTGCCAGGCACCACCGCATTAGGTGGGGTGGGGAGAAAGGATGATTGTTTCGAGTTGCTTGAATTTTCTGGATTTGTTTTTAGTCCCTATTTTTAAGGCTTGTATTGGGCCGGGGTCACCATATCTTGAAAAGCAAAATAAGGCCGTGGTCACACACACACTAAATAATCCACTTTCAATCCATTTTCGAACTGGACTTTGCCAGTTCACACAGTAAAAATCCAGTTGGAAAGTGCACTGAAAGTGAATTATTTAGCATGTGTGACTGCAGCCTATGAGTACATACTTCCTGGCTGACTGCTTCAAAGAAGAGATCACTGTATGACAGATCTCATTTTAAATACCCACCACTATTTAAGCTGTGTTCAGGTGGGGTAGCCGTGTTGGTCTGAAGAAAGAGAACAAACCTGGAGTCTAGTGGTGCCTTTGAGACCAACAAAGTTTTATTCTGGGTATCAGCTTTTGTGTGCATGTGCCAACAAAAGTTTAATTCTGGCTATCAGCTTTTGTGTGCATGCACACTTGTGCCGCTGGAGTGCAACTTCGTTCTGTTTAAGCTGTGGTCATTGCTACTCAGTGGGATCACTGCTACTAACTGCCCAACCCAAAAAGAGGACATTTTCATCATTTTTTTAAAAAAGAGCCCAAAAGAGGACAGACACCCAATACAAGAGGATGTGTCCTCTAAAAAGAGGATATCTGGTAACCCTATGTTAGCTGTCTTGATAGGGCAGGTGATCGGTGTTCTAGACAAAAAGATAAACTTTATTTCCGAGGGGGTGAGGAACTGCCCATTTGCCTTCTGTCTCTGCTCAGGGCAGTTGTGGCTGATCTCTGAGGTAGGTTTGCCAACTTCCAAGTGGGGGTAGAAACAATAGAGAGATCACGGGAAGGATGCAAACAATAACGAAAACAACCGTGATGTTTTATTATGAAAATAGATTTAGATTGCTATTCTGTAGTGAGTCGTATTTCTTCAGTGATGAAGAAATACGACCCACTACAGAATAGTGGTCTAAATATATTTCATAATATAACATCACGGTTGTTATCATTATTGTTAACTTTCAAGTGGGGTCTGGATGTCTCCTGGAATTGCAACTTATCTCCAGGCGACAGAGATCAGTTCCCCTGGGGAAACGGCTGCTTGAAGGCGGCCTCCGTGGCATTACACACCACTGAGGTCCCTCCCCAACTCTACCCCCAAATCTCCAGGGATTTCTCAGCTTGCAGATGGCAGCCCTAATCTTGAGACAGCTAAAAAGCCTCAGAAAGGCTAAGGAGTCTATTAAGCACCAGCACCAAAAGGCGAGAGCTACTGTCAGTTGTAAGGCATCTTCATAAGTTCACGTCTAAAGATGGATCTTGGTTCTGGTAGACTTTTGTCCATGGGACCTTGCTTTTTCAGGGATTTCTTGTGGCAAATGCTTTTGTGACCCAAAGCCCATATTCTTTGGGGCTCAAAGCGCTGGCCCTCAGTTAGTAGATATTATACAGACTGGCAATTGTAAACCGTAGAAAAGAGCAAGAGTCCAGGAGAACCTGAAAGGCTAACAGCATTTGTGGCAGGGGGGGTGAGCTGTCGTTAGTCACTGCGCACCTCTTCAGATATAAGCGGTTTGGCCACAAGGCTGTGAAATGCCAGAGATGGAGTTTGTGAGGTCCCTCAAGTGTCCGCGCGCACAGGGTTGTAAACAGTGGTGCAAGAAGAGGCACAGCTCAAGTGACATGCCCATGTCAAAAAACTGTTATGCAAGATCAGCACAAGGCTCTCGTTACGTTTTGTTGTTATGCTGAAACAGAGTAACATGGCTGCCTCTCCCCCGTAGGGGACTCTTTCTGGATGTGGCAGAAAGAAAGAAGGGACTCCAGCTCTTTGCGAGGAGGAGGCCACGGGGACACCGTGGCTCTACCCATTTTGTCTGGATTGCTCTTGGGAACGGGGCACTTGGCCTTTTGCGCCCCGAGTCGGCACTGCGCAAAAGCTCATACCCCTAAGCAGCTGGGTGCCTTGAGGTTACTGCCATCTGCAATCCAGGGGGATCATAGAATCATAGAGTTGGAAGGGACCTCCAGGGTCATCTAGTCCAACCCCCTGCACAATGCAAGAGATTCACAAATACCTCCCCACCCCCAGTGACTGCTGTTCCACTCCCAGAAGATGACAAAAAAACCTCCAGGATCTCCAGCCATACTGGCCTGGAGGAAAAAGGTCCCCCCTGTGCCATGGGAGTTTGCTGGGTGACCTTGGGGTAGTCACTCTTTGGCTGTGGTCACACACACTAAGCAATCCACTTTCAACCCATTTTCAGTGCACTTTCCAACTGGATTTTGCCAGTCGACACAGTGAATCCACTTTGGTAAGTGCACTAAAAGTGGATTAGAAGTGGATTATTTAGTGTGTGTGTGACCGCAGCCTTTCTCTCCACTTGACCTACTTCACAGGCTTGATGGGAAGATAAAATGCTGGAAGAGAGAGCTGCCTATGCTCTTCTGGGCTCCTTGGAGAAGAAAAGAGGAGGAAACATAAGAGAGTAATGAAATTCCAGGAGACATCCGGGGGCAGAATTTCCCTGCGGCTTTAGCCACAAGAGTCTCGCAGAAAGGGGGCAAGCCAGTCCTTACTTCGCTACCCGTGTGTTCTTTGGGGCGAGAGGGAGTCTGTCTCCTTGCCGAGAAGCCAGGATCGGTTTTTCCCAGTTTGTTTGGGAGAGGAGGGAAGCACCTGGCGGCGCTGTGATAGGAAAAGAGGGTACGGATGCAGTGTAAAAAAGATGAACCAGTGCCTTGTAGGCAGGACCGTGGACCAGGCCCCTTGGGCACACTGCCAAGGCTTTTGACAGGTGCTCTAGATCTGAGACATCTCCACAGGTGGCCAGTTGACAGGCTGGGGTGGGGACCAACACTCCCTCTAAGCTGCGGAGCCTTGTGAGAAAAAATTCTCCTTTGTGAGCTCCTGGCATTAAAGTGGTGAGCGAGCGGTTTGGCTGCTGCATCAGTTAGTTTGCTCTGGAGCCCTCCTTCCTGAGCAAAGGCAAAAAGGCGCGAGCCGGAGGCTAAAAAACTGTTGAGCCAGCTCACACTAACTCAGCTTAGAGGGGACACTGGTGGGGAGGCTCCTTCCTTCTCATCTGGTTGCCAGGATGCGCCTTGCCTGTTTTCTCTCCCCCTCCCCCAAGTCTAGGAGGATTTCTCAGCTGTGGCTAAGAAACAGAGGAGGGCAAGAGGGAGGCTTGACGCACGTGGGGAGGGCTGGCAGCCTCTGTCCCTGTTTGCCCAGGCTGGGGTGGGGAGGGGAGTCCTCTGTTATTTCGATAGACCAGGAGTCTCCCCAGCCTTTTTGAGCCTGCGGGCACATCTGGAATTCTGACATGGCACGGTGGGTGCAGAAACGAAATGGCTGCTGCCACAGGAGGCGGAGCCAGCCACAAAACGTTTGCCACGGCTTAACGTCAGCCACACAGTGCAGATCCTTGGGCTGTGGCTGCAGCTGCTGTCAAAGCAACATTTAAAAAAAAAAAAGAATCTGCACGGCCAATCAGATCTCCAATAGTCAATCAGAAGCCTTGCTGGGCAAAAGCTCTACCTGGCCCCGCCCGCTCCCTAAGAAGCCTTGGTGGGTGCCAGAAAAGGTGTCAGTGGGCGCCAACAGGCACCGTGTTGGGGACCCCTGCTCTAGCTAAAGCTGCTGCTTTTTATTTACTTCTTACTTATATCCCACCTTTCCAATGCTCCCTCTAAGCTGTGGAGTCTTGTGAGCAAAAATTCTGCTTTGTGAGCTACTGGCATTAAAGTCGTGTGAGTGAGCGATTTGGCTGCTGCATAAATTAGTCTGCTCTGGAACCCTCCTTCCCAAGCAATGACAAAAAGGTGTGAGCCGGAGGCTAAAAAACTGTGAGCTAGCTCACACTAAGTCAGCTTAGAGGGAACACTGGCGTCCCCAACACTGGGGTCCCCAACACAGACCCAAGGCAGCTAACACCAGTCTCCCGACCTCTTCCTTATTCTCACAACAACCCTGTGGGGTAGTTAGGCTGAGAGTGTGTGACTGGCCTAGGGTTACCAAGTACTTACCGAGAATCGGCGGGGGACACATACTTCTTCTCAGGACCATTCCCGCACGGAAAACAGACACGCTGCACCATGCCGTCGCCAGGAAGTGACGCCAGGCGACGCTCTGGCAATGGGGCTGGAAACTCGATGGTACCATAGAGTTTCCAGCCCCACTGTCAGAGCGTCACCCAGCGTCACTTCCTGGCGATGGCATGGTGCGACGTGGGTGTGTTACAGGGAGGAATGTTCCGGCCGGGGATCATGTGTCCCCCGCTGAATCGCGGTAGGTCCTTGGTAACCCTAGACTGGCCCAAGGTCACCCAGCAGGTTTCCATGGCAGAGTGGGAAGGAATCCGAACCTGGGCCTCCCAGATCCTAGACTGACAGTCTAACCGCTACACCACACTAGCTCATTTTAAAAATGACACACTCTGCACCAATGCTTCTCAGTAGACCTTCTCCCCCAGTCTTGAATTCATGCTAATTTCTTTCCCTCTCTGTGTCTCCCCCCCCCAGTTTCTCGCCTTGTCCCACGTGGCGCGTCTCTCTGGAGGTAAGGAAGCCTCGGGCTGCTTGCAACTGTCACGACGTAGTTGTGGAATCCACCCCCAAAGAGGCGGTCGGCAGCGCAGAGCCCGCACCTCCAGCTTTGGAGCCCTTCCCCGGGGGCGTTCTGGGGTTGGTGGGTGCGGAACTAGACCGTGGGCTCATTCTGGGAGCCCTCGGAGGGCCCGCGGCTAAGCCGTGAGGGATCCGCCCTCCCCCAGAGGGTTGCCAGGAGCCTCGCTTTAGCCCTTGACTCTCCGCTCTTCTCCCGTTCCACAGGCCCCTGGCGGCGTCTTCCACTTCTGCCCGGTCACTCCATCAGACCCCAGCAGCCGATGGGGCTGACAGGTAATCCAGATGCTGCGAGCTCGCTTTTTTCTGCTTCGTGTAATTGGGGCAGGGAGGGGGGAGGAGGCACCTTGAGAGGCTGTCTCCTGGATCGCCCGCTTGCAGGGAAACCTGCCGGCAACTCATGCCGAGTCGCTTGTTTCTGTCTGGTGCTCACTGGGGAGGAGGAGGGCCCGTTGTAGTAGCGGTTTTCAGGCTCTGTTTTGGGATATAGAGGGACATCAGAGGATCCCTGCTGGATCAGACGAAGGGCCCATCATGTCCAGCGTTCTATTCACACAGCGGCCAACCGATGGCCTCTAGGAAGCCCACAAGCTGGTGGACTGCAACTGCATCCTCCCGCCCACCGTGCTCCCCAGCCACTGATGCAAAAGCGGCTTCCTGCCTCTGGTACTGGAGGGAGAAGATGTCCATCAAGGCTAGTGGCCATCGATAGCCCCATCCGCTGTGAATTTGTCCACTCTTAAAGACTTGCAGGTTGGCCAGTTTGGTGTAGAGCCAGTTTGGTGTAGTGGTTAAGTGCGCGGACTCTAGTCTGGGAGAACCGGCTTTGATTCCCCACTCCTCCACTTGCACCTGGCTGGATGACCTTGGGCAAGCCGTAGTTCTGATAAGAGCTGTTCCTGAAAAAGAGCAGTTCCTGTCCGAGCTCTCTCAGCCCCGCCTACCTCACAGGGTGGCTGTTGTGGGGAGGGGAAGGGGAAGGAGTTTGTAAGCCGCTCTGAGACCCCTTTGGGTAGTGAAGGGCGGGGTATAAATCCAATCCTTCTTCTTCTGCATCCCTGTGGCAGTGAGTTCCAAAGTTTAACCATGGGCTGTGGGAAGCGGTACTGCCCTGTATCTGCCCTTCCACCCTTCAGCTTCTGTGGACAACCCCGAGTCCTGGTGTGATGGGAGAGGGAGAAAAGCTTGAAGGCTTACCGGGTTCCTCCATGTGTTGATCAGAAATGGTGGCTGAAACCTGGCTATTCAGTGTTCCCTCTAAGCTGAGTTAGTGTGAGCTAGCTCACAGTTCTTTAGCCTCCAGCTCACGCATTTTTGTCTCAGCTCAGGAAGGGTGTCTCCAGAGCAAGCTAATTTATGCAAGCATCCAAATTGCTCGCTCACCACTTTAATGCCAGGGGCTCAGAAAGTGGGATTTTTGCTCACAAGACTCCACAGCTTAGAGGGAGCGTTGCCTGGCTTGTGTCTCCTCACCAGCCATACCCTTCCCAGTTACACTGGGAAGGTGCTGAGCCGGAGCCCTTGCGTTGCCCAAGTGTGCTCCCGAGAACGTGCCCCAGAATCCTCTGCAGGGCTCTGGTGTTCCTCGTTGGCTATGGCAAGGGTTCTCGGAGACAGACAGCTCGACAGGCAGCACTGAGCAGCTTAGGAACTTGTTCCTCCTCCAGGCATTGGATGGGCAAGAGAGCAGGCAGCCTCTGATTAGCAGTCCACAGGCCGCATTTGTCACACAGGGAAGATCCCTGTGCTGTGGTGGCCAGGGTCGCCAGCTTCCAGGTGGGGCCTGGAGATTCCCTAGAATTACAACTGATGTCCAAACTACAGAGATCAGTTCTCCTAGAGAAAATGGCTGCTTTGGAGGGTGGACCCTATCACATTACACACTGTCGAGGGCCTTCCCCCTCCCCAAACTTCAGGCTCCACCCCCAAATCTCCAGGAATTTCCCAGTCCACAGTTGGCATCCCTAGTGGTGGCCACTGCCGGCACAGCGACCTTTTTAAAAATCGGCATAGCCAGTCCAATTTCCAGTGGCCAGTCAGAAACCTTGCTGGACAAAAGTCCCATCTGGCCCCGCCCACTTTATAAAAATGCTTGGCAGGTGCCGGGAAAAGTGTCCGTGGGCGCCATGTTGGGGACCCGTGCTCCGGGGGCTGATCTGATAGGGTGACAGCCGCGAAAGGGAGGCGTGTTCCAGGAGGCTGGGTTTTCACACTGACACTGTTCCGGGCTGTGGTCTTTCCCAAAGTGCTGTTCAGCTCCAGCAGAAGAACGCGGCCATTGTTCGGAAGAAACCCTCCCTCCCCAGCAGCCGAGGCGAATATGTTGTGGCCAAGCTGGATGACTTGATCAACTGGGCCCGTCGGGTGAGTAAGTTAGTGTGAGCTAGCTCACAGTTTCTCAGTCTCCAGCTCACACATTTTTGTCTTCGTTCAGGAAGGAGGGCTCCAGAGCAAACTGATTTATGCAGTAGCCAAATCGCTTGCTCTCAACTTTAATGCCAGTAGCTCACAAAGTAGAATTTTTGCTCACAAGACTCCACAGCTTAGAGGGAACACTGCCTTCCACCCATGCAGATTTCTGTGTGTCATGGTTTAGGGCTGATCCGGGTAAATGTATCTGAAAATCTTTAATCTAACGGTTCTCTGTAAATGTTTTTTTTTCCTTGATGCTGTTTTATATTTATTTATTTACTTTCGATTTATATACCGCTCTTGACCCCGAAGGGTCTCTGCGCAGTTTACATATGCCTCTTAATTCCTACCTAGGGCCACAATTTGTATGGGGGAGGGATTGCCTACCAGCACCCAGGCGGCGCGTTCTGTTAGTGTCTTCGGGCGGGCTTCAAATATTACTCCCAGCGCCTGATGGTTGTGACCCGTGTTCCCTCTAAGCCGAGATAGTGTGAGCTAGCTCCCAGTTTTTTAGCCTCTGGCTCAGGCATTTTTGCTTTAGCTCAGGAAGCATGGCTCCAGAGCAAACACATTGATGCAGCAGCCAAATCGCTCGCTCACAACTTTATTGCCAGTCGTTTACAAAGTAGAATTTTTGTTCACAAGACTCCACAGCTTAGAGGGAGCAGTGGTTGTGACTGTCATGAACAACTACTACTAGGCACATGGCTGCTTCCAGGGAGAAGCATGGATAAAAACTAGATAGGTTTGGCCAAGCCATGCTGACCTTTCACTTTTTTTTCGCAGCGGAGTGACTATGAACATTCTGTAGTTGAGGGCGCCATTCCTTCAAACATAAGAATGTTCTCAGCCATTTTGTGACTTCACACTACTTCCACTGTGGCTTATGTCAGGGGTCCCCAACCTTTTTGAGCCTGTGGGCAGCCCTGGACGTCTGACACAGCGTGGTGGGTGCAGCCACAAAATGGCCGCCGCAGAAAGTGGAGCCAATTACAAAATGGCCGCCACAGCTTACCTTCAGTCACACAGTGAAGAGCCTTGTGCTGTGGGGGCAGCTGCTGCCAAAGCGACGTTTTTAAACCTCTGTGCACCCAAAGCAACTTTCTAGCAGCCAATCAGAAGCATTGCTGGGCAAAAGCCGCGCTTGGCCCCACCCACTTCCTCAGAACACTCGGTGGGCCCGGCGGGCCCTGGCTTATACTGTACTCAGTTTGATCTTTGCTATTTATTTATTTTTAATTTATTTTTCGTATTTATAGCCTGCCCTTCCCCACAAGCGGGCTCAGGGCGGGTAACAACATCCAGTAATCCAATAAATAAGAGTTAAAATTTAAACACAGTAATATATCCATTAAAATGGTGGCCACAGCCCAAGAATGAAAGTGGCCGGCTGTGAGGGATTCCTTGGCTCGCTGATAACGCAGGAGTGATCGCCAGCTGTTAGTGGATGGGTCACAACCACCTCAGGGAGGCCGTACCAGCCAAAGGCCTGGTGGAAGAGCTCCGTCTTTATGGGCCCTGTGGAATTGAAGAAGATCCCACAGGGCCCTGATCTCAATGGGGAGCATGTTCCACCTGGCAGGGGCCAGTGCGGAAAAGGCCCTGGCCCTGGTCAAGGCGAGACGGACATCTTTTGGGCCAGGGAGCACCAGATGTTGGTCCATAGAGCTTAATGCTCTTCAGGGTATATACGGGAAGAGGTGGTCCCTCAGATATGTTGGTCCCAGGCTTTGAAGATTATTACCGACACCTTGAAGTGAATCTGGATCTCAACCGATAGCCAATGAGGGTGGCGGAGCACCTGCCCGAACGTGAGCCCGCACAGGCGTCGCTGTCAGCAGGCGTGCCGCCGCATTTCGCACCAACTGTAATTTCCAGGTCAATCTCAAGGCTAAGTGTGTGTAGAGCGAATTGCAGTAATCACACCTGGAAGTGACCATTGCATGGGTCACTGTAGCTAAAAATATTCTGCTAAAAACTTCATCGTGAGCAACTCATAACCGGATCAAGGCAGACTATGAGACGGGGAGGCCCACGGTCACTCCCAGGCTGAGCTTTGGCCAAGCCAGGAGAGGGGAGGCTTGGAAGAGCCTTTCTCAAGGCACCATGGCGTCGCCCCTGACTTCCGGCACCGCTTTCCCCCCTCAGAGCTCCTTGTGGCCGATGACGTTTGGCTTGGCCTGCTGCGCCGTTGAGATGATGCACATGGCGGCCCCTCGCTACGACATGGACCGCTTTGGGGTGGTCTTCAGAGCCAGCCCCCGGCAAGCTGACGTCATGATTGTGGCGGGCACGCTGACCAACAAGATGGCGCCTGCGCTCCGGAAGGTACGTGGGATGCCTGACCCTTGGGGAGGGCGTAGAGCAGGGGTGGCCAAACTTGCTCAGCTTAAGAGCCACACAGAATAAACGTCAGATGTTCGAGAGCCACAAGACGTGAACAGATATTACAGACGTTTTTATTTTAAAATATGCAGATTTGCTTTTTTTAACATTAAATGAAAATGGCCAAAAATAGCAGGGGTAAAAACAGATATTGTTAATTATATTTATCTGTCCAATTGTATTTATTTGTTTGCTAATGATATTTATTTGTCTAAGAGAGAGAAAGAGAGAGAGAGAGAGTGATGGAAAGAAAGAATGAAAGAGGTGGAAAGAGAGAGAGAGAGAGAGAGAAACAAAGCAAGCAAATAGATGGAAGGAAGGAGGGAGAGAGGGGGGGAGAGAGAGAGAGAGAGAGAAAGCATGCCTCTCCTTCGCTTCCCCAGCTGCCCTGCCGGGAGCCGCACAATATGTGTGAAAGAGCCGCATGTGGCTCCCAAGCTGCAGTTTGGCCACCCCTGACGTAGAGTCTTCCTGTGTGTGATGCTAGACCAAAGAGGAGATGCCGTGGATGAGGAAAGAAGGGGGGCTTGGTGGAAGGAGGACCCAAAACCTCGTCACACCCTGCCCAGAGCGGCCACCATTGGGTCTTTAGAACTTGCCTCTGCCTAAACTAGAGGGAAGGTGGCTTTGGCAATTTATTCTTCCTCATCCCCTCCCCCCCCCAGCTTGTTAACAATACTGGCCTACCTCATGGGGCTGTTGTCAGGACTGCTGATTAGTGTTTTGACACACTATACCAGCGGTCCCCAGCCTTTTTGAGCCTGTGGCACCTTGGGGATTCTGAAACAGCGTAGTGGGTGTAACCACGAAATGGCTGCCTCAAGGCAGAGCTCAACCACGAAACTCCCCAGAGTGAGGATGCGTAACTTTAATTGCGCGTCGTCAACATTTCGGGCAAAAGCTCTGTTTCACAGGATGCCGTTTTAAAGGAACGTGTTGTTTAAAGATGTTTTCGGTCAGCCATACAGACTTATCTCCAGTCGTGAAGTTCCTAGTGCTTTCGTGGCACTTGCTGTTCATGCGATTTAAAAAAAAAATCTGCATAGACAATGAGACCTTCAGCGGCAAATGAGAAGTTTGGCCCCACCCACTTTCTAAAAACACTGGATGGGCACCGGGAAAGGTATCGGTGGGCACCGTGGGGCCTATGGGCACCGTGTTGGGGACCCCAGGATTAGTGTTGGACGAGGATCTGGGCAGGGCTATTTTTGGGCATGAACGGAGTTCCGGCTGGCTCCCAAGTTGGCCACGCCCAGCAGGAACTCATTAGCATAATAGGCCACACCCAACAGCAGGAACTCATTAGGATTGGCTGCAATTAGGGGTGTGTGGCCTAACATGCAAAAAGCCCTGGGTTTTGACAACAAACAAGGTAAAGAGAATAAGAAGCAATAGGTGGGTGTGGCTGGATGACCACACCTCTGGTAACATGGGGGTGTGGCCTAATATGTGAATGAGCTGTGCTGTCAGGGGTGTGGCCTATTATGCTAATGAGTTCCTGATGGGCTTTTTCTACAAAAAAAGCCCTGGATCTGGGAGAGCTGAGTTCAGTCTCTGAAACGAGAAAAGAACTGCCCCGAACGACTTGGAGGAAGGGCAGGGTAAGATCGGACCAGTAACCAGGTGGAAAGGGTCCCGAGTTCGAAGCTCACACGCTTTCTGTTTTTGCCAGGTTTACGACCAGATGCCTGAGCCACGTTACGTGGTCTCTATGGGGAGGTAAAACCTTTTCTTTCTCCTACATCATTCTCGGGGAGAGGGGGCAGCGGGTTTAGCTTTTGCACCATTTGACCAGGTCACAGAATCCAGTTTGGTGTAGTGCGTAAGAGCACGGACTCTAATCTGGGAGTACCGGGTTTGATTCCCCACTCCTCCACGTGCAGCTGCTGGTGTGACCTTGGGTCAGTCACAAGTTCTTTCAGAGCTGTTCTCTCAAAGGCAGTTCTGGAAAGAGCTCTCTCAGCCCCACCTACCTCACAGGGTGCCTGTTGTGGGGAGGGGCAGGGGGAGGAGTTTGTGAGCCGCTCTGAGACTCCGAGTGCAGGGCGGGGTATAAATCCAATTTCTTCTTCTTGAAAAAGAGCAGTTTCTCTCAGAGCTCTGTGAGCCCCACCTACCTCACAGGGTGCCTGTTGTGGGGAGGGGAAGGGAAAGGAGTTTGTAAGTCACTCTGAGTGAAGGGTGGGGTATAAATCCACCCTCCTCCTCCTCTTCTCCTGGCCCAGTAACAATGGCGACTGCTGTCAGGACATCCCATTGCCCCTTAGGGTGCTGCCACCACCTGAGGGTGCCCCTTGAAATAGTCTTTGAGAAGCGGAGGTTCCAACTTTGGAATTGGCTGGGGTTTTTTTTTCAGGACTGTTCCAGCCCAATGGTTCCTAAAGTGGGGGGGTTATCCGCTCCTTTTGGGAGCCACACTTCAAATCTTTGGGGCATTTGGAACTCTTTCCTTGTGTGTGGGGGGGTAGATTTTAGGCAGCTCTTTTGCTCCGCCTGCAAGGACAGCTAGTGGTGGAGTGCTGGTTGTATGCTGCTCACTCTCTACCACAAGGATAAAATCCCCGTTCTGAGATTTCTCTCCCAGGCCCTTTAAAAAGGGTCATGACTCCTGAGTCAAACGGGAATCAAGTCGAACATTAAGGAGCGGGCTGATTGCTGTTCGGCCCAGAGTCTCCTTGAACATGAGACTGAGATGGGCGTACCCGGGGCTTTTTCCCCTGGGGGAATGCCCAAGAACAGAGTTCTGGAACCTCTTTGACAAAATTCTTTTTAAAACGTTTAAAGAGTTCATGAGTTTTGTGGATTATTTCGGTCCACTCAGCCTAGAGGAGGTTGACAAATTACTCTCATCGGTTCGCCCAACCACCTGTAGCCTTGATCTGTGCCCATCGTGGCTAATGAAAGCTGACCGTGATGGGTTGCAAGGGGCACTAAGGGAGATTGTCAACTGTTCCCTAGTGCCCTAAAAGAAGGCAGTGGTCCGCCCCCTCCTAAAAAAGCCATCATCGGATCCAGCTGAATTAGCTAATCACCGGCCGGTATCCAATTTGCCGTGTTTGGGCATACTAATTGAGAAGGTGGTGGTGAATCAGCGGCAGGGTTTTTTGGATGATGCCTCCATATTAGACCCCCATTTCTCGTTATAGTTATGTGTTGAGTAGTTATGGTTTTATATTGTAATCTTAACTTTGTTTTTAGCCTATTTTTGGAGTTTTAATGTAAACATTTATGTATATGTTTGTTAGCCACCCTGATCCCCCCACGGCGGGGAGGGCGGGATATGAATTTAATAAATAATAATAATAACAATATACAGACGGAAAACTTCATTTCCCTCTTGAGAATTCCGGCACCTCTTTTTTAAAAGAAAAAAAATCCGTGGGTGTACCCGGTGTGTGTCGCACAGGCATCCCAATCTCGACAGAGCAGGAGTCCTGTTTTCCTCTCTCTTTACTTCTGGTGCGGCGGGGGGGGGGGGGGGGGCTGAGTA